GGCCTCGTTCCTGAGGTAGGTTTGAATCCCCATGTAGGCCTGGCCTGCTTCCGCGCCCGGATCAACCCCCTGGCCTCAGTTCCCAGGCAACATCTGGGGGGTGGTGATCCGGAGGAACAAGGGCCTCTGTCTGCCCAGTGCCTCTCCCTGTGGGTTCTGCCAGGCTCCACAGTGCATACGTGGGCTTCCACAGGTCCTCTTCCTGCCGGCCACTGACTAACTCCAGGGCCACTTTGCCTCCCGTTCTCAGTGTTACAAATTCGGTGCCTGATCCGCATTCACCCCAGGGCCTAGCTCCTGATGTCTGCAAGCCAGAGACAAAGATAAGCACACAACCCCCCCCCCCACTTTCCTCCGTAAATAAACCTAGGATTTCTGCCTCAGAGGTCAAACACGCAACTGTTTAGCGAGCATCAGAAACATGCAATTGTTGGAGGTCAAAGAATGCCAGGCTCGCCTGGTAGTTGGTGGTGACACACACCTTTAATCCCAGCACTTGGGAGGCAGAGGCAGGAGGATGTCTGTGAGCTCGAAGGCAGCCTGGTCTACAGACTGAGTTCTAGGACATCCATAGCTGTTACACAGAGAAACACCGTCTCTAAAACGACGACGACATCGACAACAACTACAAAACAAACAAGCAAAAAGAATGCTAGGCTCAGGAGTCCACTCTCACCCCTATCCAAGACGTGTGCGGTTTGAGCCAGAGTTGGGGTGTGCATAATGCAGTCACTAGGGGGCGCTCGGCCACCACCGGGAGATCATGAACTTGGGCGAGCCAGTCTGCGTGAGGAAGGACGCGTGTATCAATGTGTGTGTGTGCGCGCGCGCGCGGGAGCGCGTGGGGTGTATGTGAGGTGGGGGAGAAGGCCAGGGGTCACTCCGGGATTCTAACAAATCTGTATCCCTGTCTCCACACGTCCCTGCTAGCTCTCCGCCCTCCCCCCACCTTCTCCAATATTCCCAGGAAAGGGGATTGCTCGGACCCTGTGGGTACATAACCTCATTCTCGTGTCTCCCCTGACTCCCAGCACCCAGTGTGTCCAATGTGTCCCTGGGGCCAGCTTGAGGAGGGGCACGGATCTAATAGGGAATTAGCTTTTCTCTTCATGGTGGCCTAGGGATTCTGGAAGGCGGTGCCTGGCAAGCCTGGCCTCGCCCCCGGGGCGGGTCTGGGGCGGGGCCAGACCCCCTTTTTTTTCCACTGCTGTTAGCGGTGAGAAGCGCAGAGGCTTGGGGCAGCCCAGCAGCAGGAAGGCGGGGGCGCTGGGGGCGAGCTGAGCGGCGGCAGCGGAGCTCTGTCGTGAGACGCAGCGACAAGGCAGACAATTCAGCGGACTCACCAGCCAGGGAGTCTCTGAGCTGGGATTTGATATTCAAACCTCTTTTTTTTCTTAAACATTTGAAAAACTATCGTTTTTCGCTTTAATTTATTTTTGCTTCCTATTCTTGTCTTAAATCTTGCCAACGGTTTGGGGAGGTTGCTCCTTCACTCCCTCAATTCACTTCGGATTTTGGAAATCAGCAGAGGAAAGAGGTAGCAAGAGCTCCAGAGAGAAGTCGAGGAAGCGAGAGACCGGTCAGAGAGCGCGCTGGCGAGCGAACCGAGAGAGGGACAGGGGCAAAGTGACTGACCTGCTTTTGGGGGTGACCGTCAGAGCACGGCGTGAGCCCTCCCCCTCGGGATCTTACATCGGACCAGTCGCGCTGACGGACAGACAGACAGACACCGCCCCCAGCCCCAGCGCCCACCTCCTCCCCGGCGGG